ATTCACAAAGAGTGGACTGCAGCTGGAGTGAGTGCTTCAAGAACCACCACACACAGACGTATGAAAGACATGGGTTTCTGCTGTCGCATTCCTTGTGTCAAGCCACTCTTGAACCACAGACAGCGTCAGAAGCGTCTTGCCTGGGCTAAAGAGAAACAGGACTGGACTGCTGGTGAGTGGTCCAAAGTCATGTTCTCTGATGAAAGTAAATTTTGCATTTCCTTTGGAAATCAAGGTCCCAGAGTCTGGAGGAAAAGAAGAGAGGCACTTCATCCACGTTGCTTGAAGTCCAGTGTAAAGTTTCCACAGTCAGTGATGGTTTGGGGTGCCATGTCATCTGCTGGTGTTGGTCCATTGTGTTTTCTGAGGTCCAGGGTCAACGCAGCCACATACCAGGAAGTTTTAGAGCACTTCATGCTTCCTGCAGCTGACCAACTTTTTGGAGATGCAGATTTCATTTTCCAACAGGACTTGGCACCTGCACACAGTGCCAAAGCTACCAGTACCTGGTTGAAGGACCATGGTATCCCTGTTCTTAATTGGCCAGCAAACTCTCCTGACCTTAACCCCATAGAAAATCTATGGGGTATTGTGAAGAAGAAGATGCAATACACCAGACCCAACAATTCAGAAGAGCTAAAAGCCACTATTAGAGCAACCTGGGCTATCATAACACCTGAGCAGTGCCACAGACTGATCGACTCCATGCCACGCCGCATTGCTGCAGTAATACAGGCCAAAGGAGGCCCAACTAAATACTGAGTGCTGTACATGCTCATACTTTTCATGTTCATACTTTTCAGTTGGCCAACATTTCTATAAATCCTTTGTTTTTATTGGTCTTCAGTAATATTCTAATTTTCTGATATGATGAATTTGAGATTTTCATTTGTTGTCATTTGTAATCATCAAAATTAAACCAAATAAACATCTGAAATATATGAGTTTGTATGTAATGTATGAATATAATATACAAGTTTCACTTTTTAAATGGAATTACTGAAATCAATCTACTTTTTCATGATATTCTAATTTTATGACCAGCACCTGTATACTCTATAGGCAAGGCAAGTTTATTTAGATAGCACATTTCAGTAGCGGGCCATTCAAAGTGCTGTACATTAAGAAGAAACGTACATTACAGCAGAGCAAAGTATAATAAAAATCCATCCATCCATTATCTTACACGCTTGTCCCAATTGGGGTCGCGAGGGGTGCTGGTGCCTATCTCCAGCAGTCAATGGGCGAGAGGCGGGGTACACCCTGGACAGGTTGCCAGTCCATCGCAGGGCAACACAGAGACACACAGGACAAACAACCATTCACACACACACTCACACCTAAGGACAATTTAGAGAAGCCAATTAACCTAACAGTCATGTTTTTTGGACCGTGGGAGGAAGCCGGAGTACCCGGAGAGAACCCACGCATGCCCAGGGAGAACATGCAAACTCCATGCAGAAAGACCCTGGGCCAGGAATTGAACCCAGAACCTTCTTGCTGCAAGGCAGCAGTGCTAACCACTGCGCCACTGAGCAGCCCTATAATAAAAATAAATTGTTTAAATCTTAACTGATAATATTTTGACAGAACAGTCAAAGGCCAATCTTACATATATGTTTCTAAGCTTGATTTAAAGCAACTTAGGGTTTCAGTGCTTCTGCAGGTTTTCTGTGAATTTGTTTCAGATTGGTGGAGCAAACAAACTAAAAGCTGATTCTCCATGTTTGGTTCGGATCCTGGTAATGCCTGGTAGATTTAAGTCAGAAGCTCTAAAAGGTCTGCATTGCAGCAAGTCTAACGTACTTTGAAATGAAGTGCTTCATTGATTTTTAGACGAACAAAAGTATTTTAAAGGGTATTCCCTGAGATATGGGATGCTAGTGTAAGAACTTTAGCACTGGGGTGCATGGCCATGGGAAGTGCGGGGGGTGCTGCAGCACCTCCTAGTGGCGACTGGGAGATTTTTTAAAAATTTATTTAAAAAAAAACTAAAAAAAATTACACAATTTATAAATTAGTTTATTCTTTCGAAACAACAAATGATTTAATTTCTCAACTTTCTAAGGTGGTACTTTGTTATTATTTAGAGTCTTCTGTATGTTTTTTAGGAAGTGTACTTTGCAGAATATTTGTGTTCAGAGCTAACATTGCCAGTTGTTAAATAAACAAAGCTTGCTAAAAATGTTATGCAGAAAATCTTCATAGTTCATCATGCTGGTGAATATTCTCAGTCGTCCAGATCATAGTCATTTCAAAAAAGTTAGAAAACAATCCACTGGAATTTTTTTCCAAGTTTGAAGATGTTTCGCTTCCCATCCAGGAAGCTTTTTCAATTCAAAATGTCCAGAATAGCCTTGAGTTCGAGGCTTTATACAGTAGCCCAACAAAGCCTTGTTTTGGCTTAGAAAACATGCAAATTGAAATGGACGATTGGGTCCACCCCTTTGGAATGGGGGTCATTTGACTTCTTTTTCAGCCTGCAATGCCCCATACCTGTCTATGTCTCTGAAAGAGGGTTATGACCCCTGTAAGGGGGTAGGGGTTATGGCAGTAACCTATTTCTTGCTATTTCTCATGTTTTGAATTGAAAAAAAGCCTGCTGAATGGGAAGCAAAATGTCTTTAAAACTGATAACAAATTCCGGTGGATTTAAAAAATTATTTTTTTTTACTTTTTTTGAATTCATAGTTCATAATTTTTCAGGAGGATATGACATCACAGATAAATGTAATAAAATTGAAATATAATTAAGAGGCAATTTACTATAATATTTCTCTCAAGCAGTGAAACTGGATTTATTGAAAGCAAGACAATTTATTTTAAGTATATTTTTTGATGATAACAGGTCTCCAGGTAATGAAAACCCAGAAATCAGCTTCAGCTTTTGAGAAATCAGCTTCTCAAAAAATAAACTATTTAGTAAGAGAATACTGCTAAGTATTTTTGGCAGAAGTTTAAAGTCAATACATACACAGTCATGAAAAAGACTAAAACAGAAATAATTATATGTAATGAATCCATCTGATATACCACTTAAAATATAGATGTACTGAAAAAATCTTCTTAGCACTGCTTTGAGATACACCCATCCATTTTCTGTCATGCTTATCCCATGCAGCAGCACATCCATCTCCAGCGGTTTACGAGCGAGACAGGTCGCCTGCCCATCGCAGGGCGACTCAGAGACAAACAACCATACCTAAGGAGAATTTAGAGAAGCCTGTTAACTTAACAGTCATGTTTTTGGACTGTGGGAGGAAGCTGGAGTACCCGGAGAGAACCCACGCATGTACAAGGAGAACATGCAGAAAATCTTCTAGCTGCAAGGTGGCAGTGCTACCCATTGCACCACTATGCAGCCCTGAGATTCACCCATATAAATAATAATTGTATAAACTGTTTGATGACCAAAACAGTTTATTTGAAACTGATAGAAAACAATTAGAGTTGCAGAAAACTGGTAAAAATAAGACACATTTTCGCAACCAGATTTCCAGTAGGCACAGCTTTCTGTATACAACTGTAAGAAACTTAATATTTTTTGCAAAATTATTTAACTGTAAAGGACTATATCCATCAAACAGAAAGCTTATCTTTAAATCACATCCAACCTTTGGAAACCCAAAATATAAACCACTTTCGGAATGACCCTCTCATATCTTAGAAAAACCAGCCTGATGCCAACTAGTGTTGTATCAAAACAGTCTTGGAGTTATACACAAAATTACTTTGGCAGGCATGTCTCAACACAGTCGCCAAAATAGTAGATAATGTCTGTTTTTGCTTCAAGTGGGTCTATCTGAGGTAATGTTACTGTAAGGGCGAGTGTGGATGAGGAAGTGAGCACTAAGCCTACAGTAGAGCAGAAAGGCCCTATTTGTTTCATATAAGTGCCTGCCCATTCCAAAGAATATTTACCCAAAAACATTCTCACAATTTCTCTTAATTCGTGCATTGGAGCCACGATTCCCGCTAATGAATAACATAGAAGTTTATCTTTTTTGTTTGTTTCATTTTCCACAACCATGCCCACAAACATTTTTAACTCACTGCAGATCCTGTTGGTTCTGTGTGCTCCACTCATAAACCTTTAGATAACAAGGCTGAGCGAGTACAGCTAAATTTCAGAATGCAGACTTCAATTTGCAGTGCTTATCACCTGCTTAGTAAATCTGCCACAGAAGCACTGTGCCATGAAACTGACTCATAATGAAAAAAAAAGACTTGCCAGTTCAAATATGATACCCTTCCCAGAAAAAGTGCCAGCCCAGTGCCTGCTCTGCCAAAAAGCTGAAAAAAGCACATAAATATTTACAAGTAGGTGTAGTTATCGGAAATTTGTACTTTGCATCATAGTTAGTGGATGTGTTATTTCTAATGCTGGAAAGCGACAGACATAAAGCAGAGCATGCATGCAGTAATTCAACATAACACCCGACTTTTACACTTAAACTCAACTTTATTTATCCCTGGGATTACTCCTTCAGGATCCTTCTCATTCCAGTAGCTTATATAGAGTACAAATAGTAAAAGCAAGATTCCATTAAAGATGAAAAATATGACAGACATTACAAAAAAAGTGCATATAGTACCTTACCTCTTAAAACAGTACTGTACCTCTTACCTTGTTGTTTTAAGGGATAACATATACCTGACTTTGCTCTTTACTAAGTGTCATAGCATTAATGTGCTTATTAAGTCACACACTTATCTCATACACTAAGTAAGGTATTAGAGGTGTTAGTAAGTGGTGGTTTTTATTACACGAGTTAGAAATGCTGGTTTAATCATTATTTCTGCCAAATGTCATTTTAAGGAAGGCGTTAGGTTTGAGTAGAAGCATTCAGATAGTTGCACTTTTTTTATTTCAGCTTTATAAGTACCATGTTTGTACCTCCGGGCATCCGGCCCATAGAGGCCAAATGGTTCGGTCAACAGTCAAGGGCAAATATCCCACCCCCTCTGTCCCTCCTACCGAAGCAGACAGGACTTTTTCCCCACAGCGCTAAAGCGAGTCAGTGTTCATTGGGAGTTTGGTCATGTCTGGTCTGGTTGGAATCCGCCTGCTGCTTCTATGGGGCTGTGGCTGCCTCTGGCTCACCAGCCCAACATCTGGATCACTGGTCATCTTTGAGGACACTGAAGCTCTGGAGGTAGCTTTAAACAATTCAACTTTATTTTAATCTTTTTTTTTTCTTCAAATTTTCATGTCTTGCAGAAATGTTTAAGTTGGTGCAATGCGCTTTGTGTAGTGGTCCTGGTTTCCTGATTGGTATTGATAATTTCACCCATGATAGAAATCTGTTTCAAAATCTGCATTATCTGTAATACAGAATATTCATTTATATATTTTCTTACAACCTGTATTAGAACATGAATTACCCATTTTATATTTATATTTGTATTCATATTTGAACTTTTTTAATGCAAGTATCTCATAGTTATCCCTTAGTTCCCTCCAATTTCTCCAGAATCCAGTTACATGCTTCTGGCTTACAGTACACTGCCAGCCTGGAACACATAACACCTGATATATTTTCCCTACATGAATTCCTATCAGTTTAGAATAGATTTGAAACTTTTATGATTTAGCTTCCACCCCTTATTTATCAGTTTTTAAGCTTTTCTATTTACAGCAGGTTCTTGAAGTCAAAATCAACATTTAGTCACAGTTCCAGGGTCAAGGTGCAAAAGTTGGTCACAAATATTGTATTTGTGAAAAGGTAAGACAAACAAACTGATTGTTTTTGTTTCAGGAAACAACAGGACCTGCCAAATCGCTTCAGGTATCGAACATTTCTGTTGTGTTTATGCTGTATAAAATGTATTTGTTTTGTTAATCTATTAACAGCTTACCAAAGTTTAAACCCCCAACGTTTCTGTAAGCAATAAATGGTAACATGTTTCTCCAATTAAATGTCAATAATTTCAACCGAAACTTCCCTTTGTTATTCTTCAATGCTTAGACATATATTTCCTGCATTTTATGTTTGTTTCCTTTTTCTTTTGCAGAAAAGAAGTACAAATGAGGCAATGGTAGGATTTTTTTCTACTCTGCCAATAAATGACAGTGCAATGCAAATACAACTTTTAACCTTTTCACATTTAGTCAGACATAAATGCATGGTTTAAATCCCTGTGTTCTAGAACCTTACATCTAATTCATAACTCTGACTTGGATGGAAAAATGATACATGGTTTAAACATCTAAAAATCTAAAAAGTTCATTGCAGTGTACAGCCAATTGGCACGCCTACAGATCTACTAAACCACAACCACCCACCTGAAGAAACAGGAATTAATCAAATAATCAGCTAAAAAGCTTGCTGTTACTCTGAAGGAGCTGTTAAGACTTGCAGGTCCAATGAAGAAAATATGTTGACATTCTCAGTTTTGCAATTTCTCAAACCTGTCCTTTAAATATAACTGACAAGAGGAAAACCCTTGTTTGAAAACACAAAAGAGGTATTGTTTGCACTTTACTACAGTCCATGTAGGGATAAAACACATAAAATCATCCCATAGGGGAAAACAGGTGATGACAGAAGAATCCTCTCATGCTGTTGGGATGTTTCTCTTTAGCAGAAGAACTTGGTCAGTTTGTATGGATTTACATTGTAGAGTAAAACCTGTATGATGTTACAAAGTATTGAGAGAAAAGCAAAGGTTCACCTTCTACCAGGTCCACTCTGGACAATATGGTCAAGCTTGCAGTGGCTTGGTTTATGTGAAAGCATGTTCAGATCCCAGTCCAAGTCCAGACCCAAATTAAAATGTACGAAGAGTGACAAGATTTAAAATTTGATGTTATAGACACGTTCCATCCAAACTAGACTTTTACAAGCAATAGTTTGTTAGGAAAAATAATTTTGGTGTGCAAAGATAGTAGAGAAAGGCTCCTAGCAAGACTTATGGCTATCTTTTTACCAAAAATTTGTTATAGACGCTTTTATCTCAGCTTGGCCTTGTACATGTCACACTTTAAATTTGTATAAAGAATGTAAACATGCTTTATCAGTATACCACCATTCCACAGTTTTGTGCTACTCAGGGGTGTTTTATCAAATAAAATAGATGAGTTGAAAGCAGTAAAATAATAGAAATGGGAAAAAAAGTTAAGGGACACGTTAACAGATCAATAAATACTTTTATAACACTTTATGAGGTACACAGCAAAAACAGTCTAGAAATAAGTAAAAATTCTTCAATTAAGTGTTCTTACCCTTAAAGGTGTTATGGAGGATTTTTGCAATTTTCTAAAAGACCCGCCCTCACCACATCTCCCAAAAAATGCACATGCACAACCCTGTACCCGCTCCCGAGAAGGAACGCCCTATTAAATGCGTGTGAGAGCATGCACAAGCCCATTTCTCTTCGTGCAAGCTCTTATCTCATAACTCATAACAGCTTACTGTGCCCGAACTTCCGCTCTAACCCCTTAATCCCTCAATCACTATATAGAGTGGGGATTTTATAGTGGACTTCATAGTGAACTCAGTTAACTGACTGTTTGGACAGATGATCACTACTTTTTGGTCCCCGTTGGTAACTCCACCTCCACTGCGCGGTGACTGCAGCATCTTTATTAGTCGCCGCTGTCAGGTAGTACAGGATATGACGACAATGGGCCGCTGTGACAGCAAATCTCATAATGCCTTGCGAGGAGAGCTTTAAGCGCAAAGCATTCTGGGATATATCTGCCTCTCATACACTTTGTAGAAACTTTTTCTCTTCTGACCCTCAGCTATTTAAAAGAACCATGGTGAGAAAAGTGAGATTCAATGACTTTCTGCAACTGTAGCTCACCACCGTCCTCACCATGTATGACGGCCTTATGTAAACATATCACCAGAATGATTGAATTAGGAGGACCACTTATTTAGATGATTCATAAATGATCGTCCTCTAAACCTTTAATTTTAGTGTGTAGATAAGATGATTTGCCAATGGAATAAGTATATTTACTCTTAAAATAAGATAACTAGATGGTATGCACTTTAAATAAGACAGTGCAATTGTTTTTTCTTATATTAATGTAAATCGACTTGTTCCTTTGGCTTAACTTACCTCCTCAATTCAAGAAAAAAACACACTTATTTTAAGAAAAAACTTATTTAGATTTAAATTTTTTGCAGTCTAAAATAATAGAAGAGGATTTATGTCTACTTTGAGTATGAAAGAAAGAAGAAAAAATTCATCATATTTCAATATTAATGATCAAAACAGATACATTTAAATAATTTTGGCCAAATTGAAAAATCTTTATGAAGTAAAAATCCAGAAGACTTCAACATTGTTCTCCCTGAGAAGATGAAGACTCATAACACTAACACTCCCAGGCTGTAAGAGATGATGTAATGTCTGTTAAACACTGTTTCCTAGCTGCAATATTTTTGGCATCTCTTATATGGAAAATGTATAAAATTTTACAGAGGATTCTGTCCAAAACAACCGTGTTAAAAGATGAGCTCATGTCATACTGGGCATGTTGGGAAGGCTGTCCTCATTCTGTGCAAAATGGCACCTTAATCTAGACCTAAGGAGTTAGGTTGAAGTTTTTAGTAATCAGTTCTTATTCTCTAAAACTGCAGCCTGTTTGTTATACACACCACCACTAACCTGCCTCTAGAGACTAAAAGCTAAAAAGAATAGTTAAATATTCTCATAAAACCTTTAAAGCACTGTATTACATGGCCATTTAAGATAAATGAAAAAGTGTGCCAAATTTTATTTTCATTAAGGGAGAACTTTAGGTCCTTTTCTTTTATTTTTAGCAGGTAATAAATGAAGGTATCTCGTTGTATTGATCAAATATTCATACATTCATCAGAACTTTTCTACAGTTTGTCAACTCTCCCACAGCAAACTCCCATGAGATTTATTTGGATTTTTCAAATAAACTAAATCATTATTTTTATTCATTTATTGATTTGTTTTCTTTCTTTTTTATTTAACAAATAAAAACTCAAAAAGTGAATTTATTCTCCGAAAATTCAATACTTTAAAGAAACAACATTTACTCTTCCAATTTTGCAAATCCTGGTACGAATGATTCCTTATCCTATTCAGAAAAGGAATCCTGCACAGATTTTAAATGAAATTCTATGTCGGCTTGAACTAGACCATTCCAACAAATGGATATGCTTTGAGTTAAAATTTCTCCATAGGCAGGTTTTCTTCTATGAAGGACCTATATTTATTAATATCCTTTCCCCATAATCTCAGACAAGCATCAACACCCATAGAAAAACTGTTTTCCCACAGAATGATGCTGCCACCACCATGTATAATTGTGGCAGTGGTGTGTTCAGGGTCATCAGAGCACCTTCTTTCATGATGTGTGCCAAAATGTTACTTTTCATGACATAATTTTAAGACTGGCTAAATCAAGACCACATATATATATAGGTTGACTCTATTTGAGGTTAAGCTGTTTTCAATATAAGGGGGCAAATGTTATTTTGCCCCCTTATATTTAAAATGACAAAAATGACTTTTTGTCATTTTTTGGTTCCAGAATGACAAAAAGTGAGAAGTTTCAAAGGATCTGATCAGTATGCAATGTGCTTTTTTGGCCAGATTTATAAATAGATGAATTAATAATTCTAATGACAATAATATGGAGGCCTCTATTTAAGTTTTGGATTAACTGTTTTCATTGTCTTCTGTCCAAAGGTGCAAGTACACAGTGTGACTGTGGAGTGCACTGTAATGTCCCGCTTTTCCCACACTGTCATGACCTCCGTAGCTCTAAACAAAGCCAACACATCACAGGAAATCTTCTTCGAAGTGGAACTCCCCAAGTCTGCCTTTATCACAAATTTCAGCATGTAAGAAGGGATTTTTTTCTCTTTTATCTCTTTGAAGAAACAAACAGGATTCCAGCTCACTGTAGGTTGCTGTTTATGATGATACAAACAAAACTGTTTGGTTTTTCGTGCTTCTCAGGGAAATTGAAGGGAAGGAGTATATGGGACAGGTGAAGGAAAAGGAGAAAGCGAAGAAACAATATGAGAAGGCTGTTTCATCTGGACAGACTGCAGGATTGGTCAAGTGAGTTTAGTGGGATATAAATACAAACTCAAACCAGAACTGCTTGAACTAAAGCTTTCTAAACTAGCTGATACAAACCTCCACTAATTTGGAAGTTATGACTTTAGCTTTACCACCAGATGGAGATGCTTGTTTCTGTGTTTCACTGAAGGGCCTCTGGGAGGAAGATGGAGAAGTTTTCCATGTCAGTCAGCATTGCAGCTGAAAGCAACGTGACATTTGTCCTGACCTACGAGGAGCTCCTTCAGAGGAAGTTTGGCCAGTATGAGATTCTGATCCGAGTTAAGCCCAAAAGCCTGGTGCAGCAGTTTCAGGTGAATCACCAGATGGTGAATTTAACCTTCTCTTTTGATGATTTGATGATTTTGTGGACAAATAATGTCCTTGTGCTTTTTCTGGGTGGGAACAGATTTTGGCCAACATCTATGAACCTCAGGGCCTGTCTTATGTAGATACCCATGCTACTTTCCTTTCCAATGAGCTTCTCCCCCTGGTCGAGAAAACAGTCAGTGACAAAAAGGTACATCACTCTACTTGTTCTCTTTTTCACCTTTAAGCCTGAATGACCTTTATTCCCCTTTTCTGTTTTGCATCTAACTGAAATATCTCACTGTTTGTTGCTCTTCTTCTCAGGCCCACATTTCTTTCTCACCAACTTTGGATCAGCAAAGAAAATGTCCAGATTGTGATGGATCACTGATAGATGGTGATTTCATCATTAAGTATGACGTGAACAGAGAAGGACGCCTTGGGGAGATTCAGGTCTGCCATCATCTGCTCATGCGTTTAGAGCTTTCACTGTTTTCATTTTATATTCACACATTTATTCAGCTATTTAATACAACGTATAATTCTATTTCCCTCCAGATTGTGAATGGCTACTTTGTGCACTTTTTTTCTCCCCCTGACCTGCCCAGAGTACCAAAGAATGTGGTGTTTGTGATTGACAGAAGTGGGTCGATGGGAGGCACAAAGATGAGACAGGTGAAACTTCTTCATGCTATCTTTTAGAATATATGTGCAGTGTATAGAAAAAATATATATATACATATTTGGAAAATGATTTGATTACATTTTGCCATTTTGAAATATATACAAATATAGAAGGGGACGACATGGGCAATTTTTTTAGGGGTGTGCAACTGTTTTCAGACAATGGCATCATTTTTAAGCTGATACAACTGGAAGGCTACAAGATGATTATTTTCTTTGTTTAACAAATTCTAAATAATATCAACCACTTAGCTAAAAATTGGAGCTCAACATTTCTGATTAAGCCAAAGGAATATATTTTATTTTCAGTTAAAATGTGTATGTAAATCATTGGTCCTATAAAGAAGATTTAAAATGATTTCCAACAGATTTTGGGGGAAAATGCCTGCTTTCAAATTAAAATTTAACTGGGTGGTTCCAAATTAAGGAAGTTAAGATGTTTTTGATCCTCTTTCCTGTGAAATGTAGATGATTAGTAAAATAGCTAATTAGTTTAAACCTAAAAATGTCCCTTTTTGACCAATAATTGTCAGAGTAAATCTCACCAAGAGTATTATTTTTTCATTTACATACATCTGCATCAACTCATCTTTTTTGCGACTGGCCATTTGTTTACCATTTTGTTTATGTAGTCCAAAATCCCAAACAGTTATTCCAAGGGCCACAGCCAATACCAAGGTTGTAAACTTGGAAATCCTTCCATGGGAATAAGTGGAAGATGTTTGTCAAATTTTTGGATTGTAATTAATACGCTCTCCTTGTATATTTTTTCTTTTTATGTCTATCTTTCTTACAAGGTTTCTAGGTTATTAGGAATCATTAATTGATCATTGCATACTCTTTAGCAAAAATTTTTTTTTAAGAAAATACGGAATATTATGAAGTAATAAATGAGTTCATATAAAGAATTTATATCAAGTAAATACAAAAAACGTGTATTCTTCTGAAAGATTTTTTTTAACCAAGGTTGAGATTGTAAAAGATGCTGCACCAATGCTGGTGTGGAAGCATTCTGATCTCAGAACTTTTGCAGACACTAGAGGCAATGGTGACCATTCTGGATGACCTCCATGCGGACGACTACTTTGCTGTCATCCAGTTTGACGACGTTATTTTAACTTGGAAGGATTCTCTTACCAAGGCAACCAAGGAAAACGTGGCTGAGGCCAAGAGCTATGTCAGAAGTATCAGAGCCAATGGAGGTCAAGACAACAATCTGTGACAGTTTATCACATTATACTTCCTGTATTTACAGAATGGAAGAAATGACAAGATGTTTTTATTTTTTCCAAGGTACCGATATTAATTCTGGAGTACTGCGAGGGATAGATATGCTGATCAAAGACAGACAGGAGAAAAAATTACCTGAGAGAAGCATTGATATGATCATTCTGTTGACAGATGGAATGCCAAATTCTGGTAAGTATGCTAAGTGTGACCATATGGGGCTTTGCAGAAGTATTTATACCCTTTCAACCTTTTTTTTTTTTAAAGTTGAATGTTGCTTGACTTTAGACAGACTGATAAAAATTGTTCAGACTTGCAAAAGGAAAGTGCTAAAACCATGTCATCCTTCCAAGTGCGTTTTTTTTTTGCACCATGTTTTTTCCCCCAATGTTTAGATTTTTATCACTACGGCAATTTAAAAATGTCATGAGAGCTGTACAAAATGAAATTTTTGTTTTGTATACACTGTGTGTATGCAAAATGACAATTAAGTTTGTCTAAGTCAAATATGAAATGTATCATAAAAATAATAGTGGAAAAAGAAGGGAGTATTCCTGCGTACACAGCTAAAGGGATTTTGGGATATGCCTTTTCAGTTTGTTTAACTGTAGATGTGTAAATCCTTTTGGGTTGTTGGGTAGCCTTAAGAGCAGTTTATAAATTAAAGTTGGTCTGAGTTGGTCAATCACATTAAATCCTGTACATAAAATTAAAGGACACGAATACTTTTTTTATCAGTCACCATAATTTAGGAAAGGTTTCTTTATGTACTGTATCGTTATTTTTATTACATTTTTTTTTTACATGTTTTACTTGTGCATCTGAAGGAGTGTCTCGCATCCCTGAAATCCAGGAGAATGTGAAATCTGCCATGGGAGGAAACATGTCTCTTTTCTGTCTTGGATTTGGAAATGATGTGGACTACAACTTCCTGGATGTGATGAGTAAACAGAATAAAGGAGTGGCTCGCAGAATCTACGAAGCTTCGGATGCAGTGCTTCAGCTCCAGGTAAAGTGTTTAAGTGAGTTTCAAGTGTTCTGTGTGACTGAAAAGTATTTTTCTCTCCTCCAAAACTGTTCTAGATGCATGTGTTTTTGATCTAATTGCAGGGTTTCTACGATGAAGTGTCCAGCCCACTGCTCTTAGAAATTGATCTGCAATATCCAGACAATGCAGTTGACTATTTGACCACAAGTCACTTCCCTCAGTTGTTCAATGGCTCTGAAATTGTGGTAGCAGGTCGGTTGACGGACAACGATCTGGACAACTTCCTAGTGGAAGTCATTGGCCAGGGGGTGATGAATTAATACTACAAATAATAATGCTGTAGTCAAGACCACTCTAACCCAGAGTAAGAAGCACCAAGACCGACACAAGGCCAAGACCATTAGAGTCAGAGACCAAGACAAGACCAAGACATCTTGACCAAGGTCTTATATGGTGTTAGGCTTTTTAAGGTCTTGGCCTTGTCTCAGAACTACTTGGTTGGGGTGGTCATGACTCCAACAAAAAACAACGTTAATGTCCAGATGCATCTGCATTTGTCTTAATTAGGAAATATTTCTCTGTCTCTGTTCGTTCCTATGTAGCTTGAAGAGAGCTTCAATGTGCAAGGTCAGGCCTCCATTGTTGACTGGAATGTGATTTACCCAGATGAGAGCTACATCTTTGGAGATTTCACGGAGCGTCTGTGGGCTTACCTCACCATCCAACAGCTTTTAGAAAAGAGGTATGTTACAGAATAATGGTAATAGTAGTTTCCTAAAACATGAGACAGGTAAAAAGGTATAGAATTAAAATGATAGAATTTTACATTTCTAATGGACCAAAGAGGAAGACATTTGAACTAGATGTCAATAAAAATCGAAAGAATCAACACAATCGAGACAAGTTAGTTCTAAAATGAAGCTGTGTGATACAATGGGACAGGACAGAATATGCAGTTGAAACCTTGGGCCTCATGAAATAGAGTGAGCAGCCTTTTTACTAAGTGTTAGTGGTAGTAGCAGAATTCCAAACTTGAGGCTAAGATTTAAAACCCCATGCACACACACTTTACTGAATACTTAACCTTCATACATCGGTGTGCACCGACTTTTTGATGGGTAGATATCAAAATAAAAAAAGGGGGACATATAGTGAATCCTCACCACTGTAGAGGGCACATTAGCATGTGTTTTTCAAAGGCCAGCCAGACTGATATGAAGTTTACATGGCGTTTTAGTCTGGTAAAGGCTGGTGCAGTGGGACTAACAGGTAAAAATCAATCAGGTAACTACAAACTCCAGGCAGAGGGCTCTGTTCTTGTAATTTTGTATTCTGTGAAACATGTCAAGTCGTCAAAGAAACTCTCCAGAGAACAATTTCTTCCAATTTTGCCTAAAAAATTTGCAGATATAAGGTGTGCTCTCTACTATGTTCTTTATTATCATTGAAACATTGCTCCATTGTGGTCCCCAGCTGGTTGTTATGCTAGCAGAAAAGTGCTGCTGCATTATGGGTAATTCTGGTACTGAGAGCCACATTTCATAAAGTCCCATCTCTTGCGCTGTGATTGGTTTGGCCAGATAACCACCAAAAAACAGTGGTTTAACAGAATGAAAACGCTCTGTGCAGTTTAGTCTGTCTTGCCAGGCTAATAAGTCACTACTTCAGTTTTTTAAAGCAAACAGGCAACACCAGACTCCTCCACTGAAGAGAAGTTTAGCAAACGTCACTTAAAGTTTGCTGCAGAAACTTAAAGCAAGCCATTAAAATTTAATAACGAAGAAATAAAAGAATTAAAGATAGCATATAAGTTTGGATTATACTTGTTTCTAGAAATGTATTCTTGAATTATTTGTGCCAGTTTCTTTTTGTGGAACAGGGTTGTTTGTAACATCTAATCTGAATTTCATACCTATATGTCCTTTGGAAACATATTTGCTGATATTTGAACATAAATGTTGACATGTTTAGTATGTCTTTTTCCTGCCGTTTATGCTTTGAGAGGTCATGTTCAATTATGTTTGTCAGCTATTTCTTACAAGCTCAATCTTCTTTCCCTTATAATAGTAAGACTGGTACATCAGATGAAAAAGCCAACTTTACAGCTAAGGCCCTGGACATGTCCCTGCAGTATAGCTTTGTTACACCTCTTACCTCCATGGTGGTTACCAAACCTGAAACAGAGGATGGTCCAGACAGCCCTCTCATCGCTAACAAGCTGACAGAAGGTAAAACAAACAAAAAATAGTAGGTGTTTTTATTCCTGTTTTCACTTAAATTTCTGCTAAAGGATTTAGTTTCCCTTGATTTATTTGAAAGCAACAAGCCCATGTATAGACAACTGTAAGGTACAGATATAGATATATATATGTGTGTGCGTGTTTAAATAAAATACAATTTATTAATTAATTACACATTGATTGTTTTAAAGCCCTTTCATCTATTAGCTTTGATGATTTCCTGCTTTGAAAATGGACCTTATTGAAAGCAATAATTCTCTTATACGGAATATGACTTTGCATCTTATATAATGCTATACATTCAGCAGTTTTACAGGCAAACAGATTCACATTTTTCTCCTTTTATTCTAATCTTCGCTGGGTTTTCAGGAAATAAATGTAATGAGTTGTCTATTTGTTGTTGTTGTTTTTGATAGAGCAAAGACAGCAAGCAGAGAGGGCGAAACCGATAAGTAAAACAACTCTTTTGTAAAATAGAAATGAAAAATCATCAAGTGTGGATATTTTATTTTAAAATAGATTCCACTTTGAACCCATTGTATAGCAATGTACCACAGAGTTGCGACACAACTGCAGGGGGCAGCTTTACAGGCTAAGCAACTACCGTATGCTCCTGTGTATTTTGGTAAGTACATTTACATTTTAATAAAAAAATAATAAACCAGTCTGCTGTAGTTTTACATAATGATTGTACATTCCTATGTCTAATGCAACTTTGGGGAAACTGCCCTTGAAACACCTCCACAGGTGGGAAATCCTACCACATTTATAAAGATGGATATCATAAAAGATTAGCATTCGTAAACTCTCTTATTTAAAGAAAATATGTTGCAAATGTTGCATGTTAGGGGGGTAAAATAAAAAACGCACAAAACCAAAACGCCAATAATCTATACAGGATTTGCAGGTAGATGATTATATATCATTTGATAATAGCAATCTATATAGAACTTTCATCCAGAGTAACTGCTATAAACTAAAATAAAGAAAGCAATAAAAATATTACAACAGTTTAATTAAAAATGTTTTCTCTTCCTATTTTTTCTGTTAGTGAGTTATTTCTCTGTATTTATTTTACACAAAAAAAGTGATCACTGTCAACATCCATCTCAGCATCAGTATTTATGGACATACTAAGCCAGTGCAAATCCTGTAATGGTTTAAAGCTTAATAAAATAGAGTTTGCAATAATTCTTAACTAGTTTTTGAAATTTCAATTATTTTGAAGGAAGCAGAAGTTTGCTTTGATCTTGGTCTGTCTAAGCTGTTAATTGTAGCCACTGGAATAAATCAGTTTAGATTCAAACTAAGTGGAAACTAAAAAATCTACTGCAAGTAAGACATAAACAATCTACAGAGCCTGATTTAAAGATTCCACAATATCATGAGTAGAACCTTTTATCCATTTTAATTCTAAAGGCCTTTGTACATGATGGTTCTTGCAGTGGATGGAGATCCCCATTTCATGATAGAGCTGCCTGACAGAAATGACTCTTTTTGCTTCAACATCAACAATGTACCAGGAACCATTTTTAATCTCGTCAGAGATCCAGAATCAGGTCGGGACACACTTCTTAAATGTTTTGGCCTCTGGTTCTTTGTTGCAATTTAACATTTCTTGGCCTCATCTACCACTTCCCATCATGTGTCGTCAGGTGTTTTTGTAAACGGACTGATAATTGGAGACAAGAAGATTCCGGCAGATGGGAAAATAAACACCTATTTTGGGGGTTTTGGTATTATCCATGCAACTTTGGGGGTCAGGCTGCAGGTGACCACTCAGGCTTTTTCAGTGTTACAGGATGGCAAAGAAGTCAAACTGCTGTGGACGGATACGGCTTCTCTGAAAGGACCTAAGTAAGTGATGTTATTAGCAGTTTACCAGGAACTCAGAGTAACCATGAGCTCTTTTGTTTTCCTTTAAGCATCAGTTTTTCATTTATGAAGCAGGAGTATAATTCAAATGGGTGAAATTCATCTATATGACTTAGTTCCATGTTTTTAAAATCAAAGCTAACAAAAATATGCAGGTTTTTTAGCTTTGATCAGCCTTATATGAATGTGATTTTGCTCACACATGTCTACCTATTAATTAATTATAATCCCTCCCCTTAAGAATAGCTATGAAGGACGTCCAATTTGATTTGTTACCCATAAACACAAGAGCTATGAAGCCTTTAAGAAGTCATGCTGATCTTGCAACAAACATTTTATTTGAACTATCACAAAAGGATTCTATAAAATAACCATTTTAACATGAATACCCCAGATCAGGATTATTGTGACAGTCTTTTATATGTTTTCTTTCAGTGTGGATCTTCTTGTAACCAAAGATCGCAGCCTGAAAGTGACACTAAAGGGCTCAGTTAAGTTTGTCATCCTGCTCCACAAAGTGTGGAAGAAACACCCGTACCATCAAGACTACCTAGGTTTCTACACCCTGGACACTCATCTTCTGTCCCCTTCTGTTCATGGCTTACTAGGTACAACATTATGTTTAATTATTTTGTTTGTTGTTGTTGTTTTATTTGTGAACCTTTGGAAAAGAATGATTTGAATTGATAAGCATATTCTTATGTTTTCTATGCTAATCCTGTTTATTATGACATATAGACACATGAATACACAACAAAACCAGGTTTAACTCTTAAATTCCTTAAAGCAGAAATAATTGCTTGCATGTGTCCAGGTACACCTCAATAAATTAAAATGTTATCAAAAAGATCAATTTTAAACAAACAGTAAAACTCCTATATTATACATAAATACATTATCCACATAGTGCTATATTTCAAATAAATCACTTTGGCATACAAAGTGAAAAAATTGTTCATTCATTGGCCACAAATGCAGCTGAAGCTGACACTCCACTCACATGAAAAAAAATCACCAGTCTCTCAATTGCACCTGCAATACAAAAGAAACTGGCAAAAGAAACTGGGTAGCTCCTTCCAACATGCACCAGAGAAGCGTGTTGAGTGTCAAAAACCTCCTCACCACATGTTTGATAACTCTGCCGAATTCGAACTCTGACACTTTTAAGGACCAAAATATAAAATTCAAGATGTGTGTTCATCTGGTGATAAAATGGTGGGCTGTTGTGTTTGGTAACAGTTGTTCCAAATACCATAAAGTGCCCTGTTTCATAAATAACTGACTCCACCTACTAAATTGACTCCACCAACACAAAATTGGCAGACAGAAAATGACAAATTTTAATCAGGACAACCCAAACAAACAAATCTGCTGCTGAATCAACAAATAGATTTTCCTTTCATAAGTCTACCCATTGTCTGGACCTTTTTATTCTTGCTGGGTCATAGGGCGACTGCTAACTATCTCTAGCAGTGATTGTTTCAGATGCAGGGTCACCACGAAGACAGACAGGACAAACAACCATCCAGACACGCATATGCAACAGCCATTCAGGTCGCTGGTTACAAGTTTAGAGGCAAGGCAGAATTACCTGAGAGAAGCCATGCTCTGGTACAACATAAGAACTACCTGCAGATAGAACCCAGAGTAGAATCTGAACCCAGAACCACCTTCATGCAAGCAACTATTATAGTGACACCATTTATAGAGAAATAAATATGGTTTCCAAGAGTATAAGTTTGATTGCCAACAAAAACTGTTACAGTTGTATCAATATTGCTATACAACTAACTTCCTGACCTTAACTAAAAGCTATTTTACTCAATGTAAAGTTGCTTACTTTTTTACTAAGTATTTAAAAATAAATTTACTTACCACAAATCACTCCTCAGGTCAGTTTTATCATGGGATTGAATATGAAGTGACACGCTTGCGGCCTGGAGAATCCCCGGAGAAACCGGACGCAACTATGTTTACAAAAGGACACCAGCTCACTGTGACCCGGCAAGTTTAATCTTTATTTATGTTTGCGTGTTTATATTGTGAGTTGTTTTTGCTGTAATGGTTGTTAAAAGTGTTTAAATAGGTTAAACTTTGTGCATGCAACTGATTCAATCACCCTGACCTGTTTTCTTGGATTTACAGAGGCTGGCAGAGAGACTTCAGAAGGGATGTGAAGAACGGTGAAAATGTTCCCTGCTGGTTTGTTCACAATAACGGATCAGGCCTCATTGATGGAGAAGCAACAGACTACATTGTGCCTGGCCTTTTTACAGCTTTTTGAAAGCATATACGGCAACCCTGTGCACTACGAATGTGATAAAACTCAGATTCATTAAAAACAAAAAATTCTGCTTGACACTCATGCAAATACATTTTTTTTAGCATTGTGAGCAATTAGAAGAAGGTTTTTCAAGCTTCACAAATCAATCAATATTCATGACAACCTTGATTGGACACAACAGGGTTAACCGATATGTTTGGATTCGACCTCCTGGGTTATCTTCATAGCAATATAAGAGTTGTAGTGACACAGGTCTTATATTAAAGCAGCCAAAACGCAGTTTAAATATAACTGCCAACATTTCATTAAAAGGATTGCTTTATTTCTCTATTCCATAATAAAAATAATCAGATTATTAAAACAGAGATAAAATACGATAACAGCGTCATACCACACACTCAAGGTCACTTTGTCCTCTGTCAATATGTACCCCAATTCTCTATCTACATATTGATGTATTACAATCAACACTTAGTTCATAGATTTCATAAACATTAACAATGCATTTTCACCCCTCATTGACAACAAATCACCGGTTGTCATATGTGCATATCTGAGACATTCCCCATGCAGTTAGGCCTCATTTTCACAACTCAGAAATCTAGACATGAATACTGTTGCCAACTTAACACTGTCCTCACATTTAGCAACTTTTCAGACTACGCTCGCAACTCTTTTTCCAAAAAGCAGCTGGTAACATTTCTTTGGGGTATTTGAGACCATTTAAAACATGTTTGATTCTTGCATTTTTAATGCACAGCAATTGATGCCATGGATTTTTAGCCAGTCACTTATCACTCATCGGCAGCCAAGTCTGATCCATATCAGCTTTAAGCACAGCCTTGGTACCGCAAATAAGACTAGTATAGACAGGGTGGGATAGAAAGATAAAGATTTTCATCTATATAATTAATTACTGACCGACACTAAAACATATTTCTACTGTTTCTTTTTTTTTTTTGCTGTTTAGTCTGTTGAATAGGGTGAGCAGAAGAAAAATGCAAAAACTTTATTGTTTTTTTCCTAGGTTTGTAAGTGGACCATATGTAAGAAACAAAACAAAACCAGATTTAAATGAATGAAAATGAAGAACTGGAGATTTTTTTTTTTGTAGAAGCTGGTAACAAATGAAACAATCTACAGATGTGTGAAAATGGTGAAAGGGCAAAATAACTAGCAACCAATAACGTCTGAGTCTCCTAGACAAAATATTCAAATAGTATTCACACTGTCTAAATAATGCCTGAAACATTGCTTATCTATGTGGCCTTTATGACAAGTTCTTACTATTAGAGGTCAAAGTGTGAATGTTTAACCTGGCTAACGAAATTATTATACTGGAACCTTTTACCCTCTCGCATTTCTGATTTTATCGTTTAGAAGCTGTTTTTTGACTTTCAACTCCAGTTTCAAAAGCATAAAAGCTTAAATTAACTTTGAATTTGTTTTTGTGTCTGTTTTGTGTAAAGCGATGATAGAGACTAAGGGATGTTCTCAATGGCAACATATTTTCTATATTCTTTGGTTGAGAAGAAAATACTTTTTCAGATCTTTTTCTTGTGTTTGTCAAATTCTTCAAACAGAAAAATAAAAGATCTACCTGATCACATCCTGATCGTTTATTCTTGCATTATAAGTACTGACAGGTCCAGAATTACATTTTTACCAATGGTTCGTGATGTAAAGGTTTGTAAAAATCTGCTGGAGCACTACTGCACCACAACACCGAATAAAAATTACAGGGTTTTTCACAATATGCTGTCATTTAAAGAGCAATACAAAAAATTTGTACTCTTTCACAGACGTTCTAAAGTCATGCTTGGACAGGATATGGATCACCAGTATCCATTCTTAATCCTATTAGAATAAGAGATTAAATTCCACTCCTTCTAATAGATGGACCCTCCCTCTAACTGTAAAATGCGGTGCTAGTGGAGGTCTTTACTTTGAGCCGCAAAGGAAGGCTGCAGTTGCAATTGGATCTTAGGTTTTTAAATATTTGGACAAAGATTCAATTCTTCTAATTAAGATTCATTACAGTAACATCATGAATTTTCAATAAAACAATTCAGATGCAGCTGATTTTGCTTTAATTCAGTAGGTTTAACAAATTATGAGAGGAACTAAATCCTTTTTAAACACAGTTCCTATATTCCAGGGCCTTGGAAGTAGTTGGAAAAATTAAATAACTTTGAAACAAAAGGTTCGCTTCTAATACTTGTGATATCCCTTTGTTGGAAATGGTTGCCATAAGTCTTGGGCTTTTGGATTCTGTGTTTCCTCCCTTTTAATGCTCTGCAGGCCTTTGCTGCAGCAGTTTTCATTTACTACTTATTTGCGGGCCTTTCTGTCTAAAGTCTGGAGATCAGGTGTTTGACTTAGCCATTCAATAATATTTCACTTCTTTGCCTTAATAAACTGAGTTATTCTGGAGTTCCTTTTTGGATCATTGTCCATCTGTATTATGAAATACTGACCTATTAGTTTGGCTGCATTTGGCTGGATTTAAGCACACAATATCTCTCTGATTCCAAATAAAGTAAAAAAACAAAAACAAACAAACACTGAACTTGTTTTCCTTGTTTGAAAACATTTCGCTTCCCATCTATAAAGCTTTCTCGATTCAAAATGTTTGGAGTAGTGTTAAGGCCAGGCTTATAGTAGCCGAAACTAATGCCTTGTTATGGCTTAGAAAACATGCTAATTGAATCGAAAAACTGGTCCACCCCTCAGTAATGGGGAGTCGTTAGGGGCGATGTAGGCCTGGCTAAACAGGCGAGATGTTTTGATCACCTCCATTGCAATGAGGATTTAGATCTCACCTCTTTAGCTAGGTGAGATCTCAACAACAGACATTGTGCAGAATCATTCAGCAACTAAACTCATTTTCATTAAGAAAGCAGTGACCAATATAGCCACCCCTTAACTTTCTGGATCTTCTGATGATCAATCTTTTGTGCAGAATCATGCACAGCCTGCAAGGAGGTGGACTGCTTTCCTATACAGTTTTTTTTTTTCATCTTTAACACCTTCACTGGCCAGCATCATAAAATTTGTATTTGGTTGTATGTGATAGAGCATTGTCCTGAATACAAATATATATATTTAAATCCAGTGGATCAGCATTAAAAACATCAGCCCATACCAATACCACACCTCCATGTTGCTGGCATCCATCTCGAAATGAAGTGCTGTGACAGTTACTGATCCTTCTGATCCATCAACAGTCACCCCCATTTTATCTACCCATAGAACCTTTAAGAATATTTCTTCAGATATTTCCTGGCCCAGTTTAGTCTTAAGTTTAAGTGTGTTGTTAAGTGTTGGTTTGGCTTCAGACTTCTTTACCTTGGCCATATATCTGAGTACTGAAAATCTTGTGCTTAAGGTACTAATATTAAAGTAGGCTGCAGTTATGTAATAGGACAACAGGACGATGATGAGTTCCTGGTTAGCCTGATGTTTGATTCTTAGTCAGTTAAAGCTCTCTTTTTTTGGACCATTTTGCCTGAAAGAAACAAGTTGCCTAACAATTATACACACATTAAGGATGTTGCCCATTTTATGCCACACCCTCCCTTATTACAAAGAAAGACATATTTTCACAGAGATGCAATCAGAAAGTACCTCACACATAAAACAAGGAGGTACACACATAAAACAAGAATAGATAGTTATTGGCTAAGCCAGCCTTTCCTTTATCAATGAAATAATAAAATCAAACAAACTCTCTAGTCAGTTCTAGTGGCCACATTTAACTTGTTCCTCTTGATTAAGGCTAACAAGCATTCTGAGTACTAGATTAAAACTGGAAGGGAAATGAACATTTCATTTTTGTCTATCATTACTGCCTTACTTAAAAATACTCTTGCTGGTCAAATACAAACATTATTTATATGTAGAATCTGAATGGCTGACAGTTTGGTGGAATTTCTCTTACAAAAAATGCATCTACGTAGTCCTTTGCAAACATATTTGCTGTTCTCGCTACGTCATTATGGCCCAAAAGCAGAATAAAAACCCAACATTATATATAATTTTTATACCTAAAATTCTTAGACTTTTCCCAGATTAACCCAGAAATAGGAAAATCAAAATGTTTCTTTTATTCCTATTTCCATGTTAGCTTTGTAAAAAAACTGGATTTTAGGTCATTTTAAACCAACAGACATACTGCATTGAAATCACAAACGCAAACGGCGGATGTGCTGTGTGACTTCATTCAGATGACACCGTTTCAACCTACCTCCAGCCTCTCCTCCACCATCGCAGCTAAGTTTCATTCCTCCCGGACTCTTACTGCGTTCCCTGTCTCATCTTAACCGGTCCGGCAGAAGACCGCCATGTTGAGCTGGTTCTGCCAGAGGTTTCTTCCCAACGGGGAGTTTTTCCTCTCCACTGTCGCTCCATGCTTGCTCATCATGGGCAGGTTCTCTCAACCTGTGTTATCCAAACTGGACTTTCAACTTCCAAGTCCCTGAGTGAAGCTCTAGAATCAGCTCACACAATTCACTGGATCTCTGCATAAAGCTCAGCATACCGTCTCACTAACCAGCAGTTTGCAGACTGACCAACTTCATCTATCTCCACTCCACCACCAGTTTAAGGCCTGGGGGGAAATAGCCCTATTCTTTGCTCCTGTTCATGCATATCTATCAAAATTCAGCGCTGTTTCCTGCCGAGGTCTGAGCACCAAAGACAAAGTAATTCTATCAATACATTTCTCCTAATTGTCTTTTCTTTTCTTGTGAGTTTTTCAGATTGAACTATGTCCCTCTCTATACACCTTGAAAACCTGAAGTTGTGCTGAAAACATTTGGAAGACTTTTCGAGGGTTGCTTGGCATTAATTCCTTCTCATGGAGGTTAAAAAAAGACCACAAAAGGCTGTTACTGAAAAAGTCATGTCTTTACAGACTACTGTATCTATTCATATAAGCTGGGTAGAATATATTTTTTTATTGCACAAAAACAATAGTTACCCAGTGTCAGGTTGAGTGGAGGCATCGAGGACCCAAAGGCAAAGATGAGTTTTACTGATTTAATGAAGTTATCACAGGTAACAGAAGCAGGAATCC